GGCCTCCATCTTGGATCCGCGCTTCCAGCCCCCGCGCCGCTGCCGCCGCATTCCCCCTTTCCCGCCCCCCGCCGCCGTCGCCGCCGCCCGCACTCACCTCAGCTGCCCATCCGGGCGCCGCCGGCCGTCGACCTAGTTTCCCCCCAAAAGTCTCCGGTGTGTTATTCCCGATGTGGGGGGGTTGTTACGGGGTGGTCGCCGGGGGTTCGGGAGCGGGGGCCGCGCCTTCAACGGAGCTGCAATCCTAACCCGCCATCTGGTGGCATTTTCCACACGCCAATGGCGCCGCTGCAGACTTGGGTCCGGACCGCCCTCTGCTGGCCGCGGCGCTTACTGCCTAGCTGACGGGACGGGCCTGCCCGGAAAGGGGAGGGAGCTGAGGCGCGAGCTGGGGACCGCAGCGGGGACGCGCGCAAACGCTTTCCTGTGGGGATTGCGCGCACGCGCACCAGCGGGGCGGGAAACGTGGCCGCTGCGTGGAGACCCCGCCCCCACACGGAGCCGTAGCCTAGCTCAGCCAATCGCAATCGGCGGATACCTCTTGGTGAGGGCGCTGTGGACGGTTCTTGGGCCGCCTGAGGCTGGCAGAAAGACGGCCACGGTGGCGCCTGCGCGCCCTGCTAGCCGAGTTGCCGCCCGCCATTTTCGGAGCTTTTCCGAGACCTGGGAGGGAGGCCCGCCCCCGGCCGGTTCACTGAAGCCCCTCCCCAGGTCGCGAGACTGGCGCTTCCCTGCAGCCTCGTCTGACTTGTGCTGCCTCCACCCCACGTCCGGGAAGCGCTCTGCGGAAATAGGAGGGAGTGAAGGTGCCAAGCTCTTCATCCAACTCTTCTGGGTCTAACGAGGGCCTCTGAGCTTAGCATTGTATTAGCTACCTTTTGTTGACTGTTGGGAAGACGGTTTTGCGAGCGAGGGTGAAAAGGTTTCGAGAACTGTTTAGGCCCTCCCTTGCCGACCTAAACGCTACAGTGCCTGCCCCAGGCCGATTGGCGTCGTCCCTGCCTCTGTAAAGCAGATCCTCTCCGTAGTGCCGGCTTTGCATAAGGCGGCAGCATTGGCTAGTTAGTGAAAAAGGAATGTAGCTGCACTGGGAAAATACAGCCTCAGCTTTGAGAGTTCTCTTCCCACAGCGTAGGACAACTCTCAGTGGCTCTGAAATGAACGTATTGACTAACGTGAAATGTAACCAAAATATGTCCTTGAACGTCGCCTCTTCTACCCGCCTTTCTGTGGCAGTGGCTCCTACATTTCACCTGCTCACAACTTTTCAATACAAAAGTGAATCCTTAATCTACCTGGTCAGCAGCCCCATTCATGAAAATTCTTTATTGCTAGAGCCAGCTCTGTTTTAATATTGCCTTAGAATCCCTCAAATCCTTTAGTCTTCAGACCCAATTTCCAATAAATTACCCCTATTACCTGTTTCTTTCCCAAAGGTCACAAAGTGTGTGGCTGTTTCACTGGAGGAAGTCACAGTCGACCTAGTCGGGTATGAATTCGTGACTGGCCTCCCATCTATAATTTTTTTTTTTTTTAACTAATCTCTGGTTGACTTCTCATATTTTCCTCAAAGGCTTTACAGCTTTCCTTATTAAAGGTTCCAGTCCCAATCCATACTAATAGGTAACTTCATTTAGTTTCCTGGAATCTAAGCTCTGGAATTCCCAATTCTGGTTTGATATTCTCTCCATCTTAAAATATCTGTAGTCACATTCTGTTCATGATCTCAAAAATTCTCATCAAATTAGCCTGTTCTCCCCTTCTCTCCAAAGCCAGTCCTCCCTGGACTATGAATGCTATCCCTTCCCACTTCCTTCCACCACTACTTTCTTAAGGTCTTGTATCTTCTTGTCCTTATCCGTCAGTTTCTTTTCTGCTTTTCAACACACAGTGTCCATTGTCTTTTTAAAATTTCAGTGCTACTATTCTCTTGAGTAACGATACTATCAACCTTCCTTTCACTGTCACATTTCTGACAAGGTGTAATCACCACCTCCATTTACACTTTATTCCTTAGCGTGTATTAATCAGACTTTATAACAGCAAAATGAAATTACACTTTAAGGTCAACAGAGTTCTAATTTCCAGCCATTCTTTCATTCCTCATTTTCTTGGCATACCAATCCCTATCCTCTCTTTAAAGCCCTATTTCCCTTTATTGTAAGACAATTCCTATTATCTACAACCCACCTGGTTTACTGGTCTTATTCCTTTGCTAGCTCCTCCTCTTTCTTCCATCCAATAATTCAACTCCTAGCTCTCTGTTCTTCTCCACTATATTCTTTCACTTAGGAAGTCTCCCAAAATAGGGGTGCCTGGATGGCTCTGTAGGTTAAGAGGCCCACTCTTGACTTCAGCTCAGGTCATGATCTCACGGTTTGTGGGTTTGAGCCCCACATAGGGGCAGGCTCTGCACTGATGGCACGGGGCCTGCTTGGGATTCTCTCTCCCTCTCTCTGCCCCTCCCCTGTTCTCTCTCTCTCAAAATAAATAATCTTTAAAAAAAAATTTTAAGTCTCCCAAAATTACTGTTTCTGATTTTTCCTTAACTAAGATTCCTCGTGTTCAGCTTACTTGCCAGGAAGCTCCAGCTCAAAATTTAAACATTTAAAATAAAGCATTTGGGGGGCACCTGGGTGGCTCAGTGGGTTGGACGTCCAACTTCGGCTCAGGTCATAATCTCACAGTTTGTGGGTTTGAGGCCCACATCAAGCTTTGTGCTGACAGCTCAGAGCCTGGAGCCTGCTCCAGAGTCTGTGTCTCCCTATTTCTCCTATTTCTCTGCCCTTCCCCTGCTCATGCTGTCTCTGTCTCTGTCTCTGTCTCTCTCTCTCTCTCTCTCTCTCATTCTGTCTCAAAAATAAACATTTTTAAATTTTTTTAAATAATGCCCTTTTCTTATTCAATAATAGCATTGTAATCTCAGGACTCGGGAACCATACTGCTCTGGAAAGCTGTGTGATCCTAGACAAATCTCTTTGTGGCTTAGTTTCCCTGATTGTTGGAAATAACAGTAGTACCTATCTTATAGATTTGCTATGAGTATTAAACAAATTAACATTTATAGAAATGCCATTGGTGGCACAAAAACAGACACATAGACCAATGGAATAGAATA